TGGGCGGCAGAAGGTGCCGGAGGAGCCRGGAAGGGCCCTGGCTGCGGGCGGGCGCTGCTCGGCACAGCCTGTTTGCACAGGGCCGGTCCTTGACCCCGGGTCCCGTTATCTCCGGGGCTGCTCCTCGCACAGCGCGATCAATCCCGCGGGATCTGTGGGGCTGCCGTCTTATCTGATACTCCTGTTTGTCCCTCCCCACAGTAAACATCCGCCACTCAAAATAACAAGCTCTGCACTGCTGACTTGCTGCTTTGATTCTTGTTTGCTTACTGAAGCTACTGCTGCTGATCCGTGGTGTCCTTGAGGCTTTGCCCGACTTTGTGCCACAAATTTGTTTAGTATCACTGACTTCATTACAATGTTTTCAACAATAATATTTTAACAGGACTCCCTCTGACTTGAATCATCTTTCAAGTTAAAATCCCCATTCACACAGACACATGAGAAAACTCCAGGATGCTTTATCAGATGAAGGATCCCTTGTGATCCCAGAGATAATCAAAAAGTGCTGAATGGGATCATTTCATATAAGCAACAATCTCTAAACATGCACTCAATGCAGCAGAGAATGGAGTAAGCGGCTGCATTTGGAATATTTCATCAGAATCAGATTAATTAATGAAGTATGAGAGCTATTCTGCAAATTTGGGAACTGTAATCCTGCTTTATAGCAACTTGTGTGGAGCTAAAGGTCCAGCCTGTGCTTTATGGCACGTTGCACCTTGTGGTCCTTCCCTACTTTTCATCTTATTAGAGAATATTAAAAAATTAAGACAACTTGTTATCAGAATTCTCTTTTCCTAATGGGCAATTCCTGAACATTTGGAAAACTGACAGATACTGCTGTGTTTCCCATTCTGGTTATGGGATGAGTTGGTCACAGCTTGCCCTGCCCGAGATGGACACGACATCCCCAAGTTTTAGCCAGGGCTTGTTTCCCTGTCCCACTGTCACATCCCCACGTGCCCCCACGTGTGCAGTTCAGCAGCTCCTGTCGCTTCCCCCCGCTTGCACTCCCAGCCCCACGTGCACCTTCCCAGCCTCTCCCAGTACATCCATTTTTCCCAGAGCCTCTGTGGCTCATGGAGCAGGCCCGGCACAGCTCCGTGGGATGATCTGTGTGTTCCAGAGCCACCTTCCTGTTGGTCACTTTATTCAGCAAAAGGAGTTTCAAAGTGAAATCAAACCTGCAGCCCCTGAGGTTCCACTTAACTCAGGCACTCAAGGAGCCATTTAGAAATGCAGCACTGGGAGTTCCAGTTCACATCCACAAGAAGGCAGCTGGAGGAAGGATCATTTCACCTCTGCAGGAGCTGTGCTGGGATGTGTCTGAACCTCTGCCCTGTTCTGTTCCCTGTGTTCATACTCCTGATTTAACCCTCACCTCTCCCTGGTGGCAGAGATGCCACCCTGCCCTTCCACACCAACTGCTGTACCAGAGAATAATTCCAGGATCAGTTCATTCCCTCTGTAGCGTTCTGGCTGCTTGGGATAAAATTCCAGAAGGAGGGAGATGGGAGACCATGACACCACCCCCACACCCAGGGATGGGGCTCAGCCCCTCTCCAGCAGATCTTCTGGCATGGAATCACTTGTTCAACTCCCAGAGGGCAGTGGAGTGACTCAGTGTGGCGCCAGGACACAGAGTGGATCCCAGTAGGACAAAGCTCCTTGATTTGAATGCTGGGAATGCTTGTCACCAAAACTTGGAGTATGGAGCAACAGAGCTTAAACAAATCAG